ACATGCCCTACAAATAGACACAATTTGACTTCATGGGCTCCTTTCTCAGTTTTAGCTGGTAGTTATTTTTTCAGTACCCAATCTCTTTACAGATGTTACAGTTCCTAAAAAGTTAAATATATGCTCCCATATGATGGAACCATTCCATTCCTAAGTATTTACCCAAGACAATTAAAAGCATATCCCATACAAAGAGCTATACACAAATGTCCATAGTAGCTTTATTTGTAAGAGCCCAAAACTGGAAACCTAAATGTCAATCAACAGGTGAATGGATAAACAAATGAGGGTATAGCCACATAATGGAATACTCTGCAATAAAAAGGAACAAACTATTCATAAATGCAACAATGTGGATGAATCTCAAAATAATTATGCTGACTGAAAGAAGCCAGAGCCCCCCGCCCCCGAAAAAAGTGCATGGTATATTATTCCAATTATATTAAATTTTTGAAAACATAAATTATCTATGGTAACAGAAGGCAGATTGGTAGCTGCCTGGGACCAGTTGGGTGAACCACTGGGAAGTTTGATTACAAAGGCCGTGGAAACTTTTGGAGGTGATGGTGATAAATTTGTGATTATAGCGACGTTTCATCATTGTATACATTGCCCAAACTCACCAAATTATACATTTTAAATATGTTCAATTTGTTATACCTCAATAAATACAGTTGTAAAACTCAGAGTCACTAGGCCCATGAGGTGTGCATCTGATGCAGGGCTCTCTATCAGCTCCATGGATGATTCAGTCAGGTGTTCTCAATGGGAATTGCCCAAATACAGAGAGCTCAATGTTAAGGTATCAACAAAATGTTACCCTGGACGGTTTGGTTCTGTGGTTAGAGCATCGGCCCACAGACTGGAGAGTCCTGGGTTCAGTTCTCGCTAAGGGCACATACCTCAGTTGCAGTTTGTACCCGGCCCCAGTTGGGGTCATGTGGGTGGAAATCACTCGATGTGAGACTCTCACATCGATGTTTCTCTCTCTCTCTTCCTCTTCCTCTCTCTCCTGCTCTATCTGAAGATAAATCAAAAATGTCCTCAGGTGAGGAAAAAAAAAAAAGATAAAAAAAAGTTGATGTCCCACATTTTAGTATAAATATTTTCCCTTATCAAACTCCTAAGGGAAAAAATAAACTCTCTAGCCCTGGCCAGTTTGGCTCAGCGGTTAGAGCGTCGGCCTGAGGTCCGGAGAGACCCGGGTTCGGTTCCCGCTAAGGGCACGTACTTCGGTTGCAGTTTGTCCCCGGCCCTGGTTGGTCGTGTGGGTGGCAGCCACTCGACGTGTCCCTTCACATCGATGTTTCTCTCTCTCTCCCTTCCTCTCCCTCCCTCCCACTCTATCTGTACAAAAAATGGAAAAATATATCCTCGGGTGAGGATAAAAAATAATAATAATAAATAAATAAATAAATAAACTCTCTAATCTAAGTTACCTTTCAAGTTAATATTCAAAGGCCAAAAAATCAAAACCCAGAATAATTCTCTTGTCCAACAAAATGAAAGTCCTTCCCAGTTTATTTTGTTCCTCACAGCCAGAAATGTTCTTAGTGGCCTAGAGGGATTTTTAAAGCAGCTGCAGCCTGTGTGTCTTTCTTGGGAATAGATGTGACTCACTCAGCTTTTCTAAAGAAAAATGAACTCCACATCAAGTCTGTGGAGTGTCTCAATTTTTAAAAGGTCCAAAGAAATAGAACACCCAAGATCACCATAATACTTGCCTAGCGTCCATAAAATTTAAAGAGCAGTTATCCTGGACAAAATTATATTCCCAGAACCCAGTAGTTGTTATTTCCAAAGACAATACATAGCAGAACTCGATAGTAGAAACTGATGTATTTTGTAGGAAGGATAGCTGGGGATGGCTTTCTCCTCACCAGAATGCCAATCAGTAAATCCCAGGATCCACAACCTGCACACTAAAACTAAATTGGAAGAAATTTATCAAGAAGGTAAATTTATCACCATGAATTTAGCATGGTACACTATCTTCTCAGAAGGGCATTTGAGACACTCATGCCATCTTGCAAAGTACAGATTTGCAGTGGTGCAGTCCCAATCACCACATCTCTAGTATATTCAAAATCTCTTTGTAATCCAAATTTGCTGTTTTACATTTCATTTTAGACTGGCATGAGAAATTTAAACCTAATCTTCTTTAGAAATCTGTATTGCATACAAGTCTTCTGCCTTGAAGTTTATTTTTTAGTTTTTGTTTTTGTTTTTCTTTATTGATTTTAGAGAGAGGAAGGAAGAAGGAAAGAGAAATAGAAACATCGACCGAAGAGAACATCGATTGGCCACCTCCTGCATGCCCCACACTGGGAATAGGACCTACAACCCGGGCACGTGCCCTGACTAGGAATTGAACTGGTGACCTCTTGGTGTATGGGTGGATGCTCAAGCACTGAGCCACAACGGCTGGGTCTTCTGCCTTGAAGTTTAAAGCAGCACATACTGTGTCACTAATGTTTAGCATCTCTATAGTATTTTTTTTTTCTAACATTAAATCTTTTCCTCAAACTATCCGGTGTTTCTGCAGCCTCTGATTAGGCCCGTGAGGCTTATACATAAATTAAAATGTGGGTCAAGGTCAAGCCCACACCCTGAAGCTGCCTGCACACGCCAATGCCTTTGTCAATGCCAGGGTAGCTCACTGTCTCACGCTGGCTGGCACTGGCTGCGGCCATCCAGGAAGCCAGAGTATATGTGAGCTCTGCTGTCACATTCTGTGACTTGGCTGAAGCCTGTATCTCCACTGCTCCCACGCCCCAACTCTGCTTCTTTTTGGAGGCCTGCACACTTCTGCTTAAGGTCCAATATTTCACCGTCTCCAGAAATAACCAATTTTCTGTGGACAGAGCTACCTTACACAAAATCCCATGTGCCTTAAGGCTTAAAGCTTTTTGCCAAAACAGCAGCAATTAAAAACTACAGAAGTAGTAAAAATCAAATTAACGGCCCAGTGTAAGCCTCAACAAACTGCCAACATCCAAACACCCTGCATAGACATTAAAGTCTGAAGTCTGAAACAAATTCTGGCCACCCAATGCTTCTCCACTTATATGCTGTGTTACCTCAAATTTCATTCCTGTTTTATTTCTCAGTGTACTGACTTATTCAGCACAAATAGGGAGTTTCAGATGTTTCATTCTGCAAAACACAAGGTCTCTGCCCTGCTCTGCCTCCATCTCCCTCCCTCCCTATCCATCAGTACAGAATGTTCTTTACAATTTTCAGTATAATAGGAACCAACAGTACATGCACTGTACAGGCAGGCCAGGTTCTCCTCCCAAACTTGATCATTTTTAAGGTACTACCTCCCTGGAGAGAAAAAGTGGAAAGAGTAGACACCATGTTAGGCTAAGGATGCCCTCTCCATATGGAAGGAAACATCAGGAATGGAAAGGAGTGATTCCCCAATCAGTGATAATTTACATGCAACTTATTACTACTCTTTCAACTTTTAAATACACCACCATCTTTTTACCTTTGTAATTTCCTTCATCCTGTCTTCACCTCTAATTCTCTTCTCATCCTTGAAGGCTTTTCTCACATGTTATTTTATCCATGAAACTTTCCCTGGTATCTTCAACCAGATCAAACCTCTCGTTTTGCCTAGCCCAGCAGAGGTGGTTCAGTGCACTGAGCATCGTCCCATGGACTGAGAGGTCCTGGATAGATTCCTGGTCAGAGCACATGCCTGGGTTGTAGGCTCAATCCCCACAGAGGGCATGCAGGAGGCAGCTGATCGATGTTTCTCTCTCTCTCACTTCCTCTCTCTCAAAAATATCATTAAAAACATATTGAAGCCCTGGCCGGTTTGGCTCAACGGTTAAAGCGTCGGCCTGCGGTTCTGAGGGACCCGGGTTCGGTTCCCGCTAAGGGCATGTACCTCGGTTGCAGTTTGTCCCCGGCTCTGGTCAGTCGTGCGGGTGACAGCCACTTAATGTGTCCCTTTCACGTCGATGTTTCTCTCTCTCTCTCTGGTCCTCTCTCCCTCCCACTCTACCTGAACAAAAAAAAAAAAAAAAAAAAGGAAAAATGTCCTCGGGTGAGGATTAAATAAATAAATAAATAAATGAACATATTGAAAAAGCCCAGCCGGTGTGGCTCACTGGATGAGCATTGATCTATGCACCAAGAGTTGCTGGTTCGATTCCCAGTCAGGGCATATGCCCAGGTTGTGGGCCAAATACACGCGGGGGGGGGGGGGGGGGAGCGCGCATGCAGGAGGCGCGACCAAGCAATGTTCTCTTTAATCAAGGTTTCTCTCTCACTCCTTTCCTCTCTCTCTAAAATCAATTTAAAAAATATTTTAAAAAAAGAAACCTCTCTTCTGAGGCCTTAGTCTGAGAATCAACCACAACAGAATGTCTTAATAGTTGTCAAAACATGTATTACTGAGCCCATCAATGCTATGCAAATATTGAGGTAGGGCCCTCAAATGTGCACTGAGAACTCTCCAGGTGATTCTCTGGTGCACTCAAGTCTGAACCTTTCATTTTGTACCTCATCACCACTGATTATTTTTTGTCCGTGATATTATTTGGTATTTACTGCCCTGTAAGATTCTTGAAAGGAATCTTTAAAAAAATAACAACTCCTTAACCTGGACCTTCCATGTATAGCAACTGCTCAACTACAAAGTTGTTAAAATAAACTTAACTAATTTTTATTCTCTCAAAAGGACTAGATCTCGTTTTGTCCCTCCCTTAAAAAGTGTCTACAAGTAAAATAAAACACAGGTGAAATCATTATAAAGGAATCAATTGAAACATTTTACTCTGCTTCAAAATGTACTGTCTTAACCGATGTAGCCAAATGTAGGTTTTCTGAGATCTTTTAAATGCAATATTACGTACGTATAGCAAATTTCTAAGCAGTTTTTCACTGCAGTAAAGGATTGCCTTTCTTTAAGAAGTTGCTTCCCTGGCAATTCCTATTTCACTTTTAATGCAGTGATCAGTAGAATGCAAGAGTTCCTGAAACCTTAATGCAGTTTCAAAAACTTTATTATTCAATGCTTCACAAATATCATTTGTTTAAAAAGATGATAATCAAGCCTTTCTCATTTTGCAGAAATTGCAAGCAAGTGGGAAGAGCAGTATTTCAGTACTTTATCTCAGCTTACAAGTTTACCAACAGAGACAATACCAATAATGTTCCAGTGACAATGTCTTACACAATAACAGGATCAGGAATGTTTAATTCTTGCCACGCTACTGCCGAGTTTCCAAGATCTTACACTAACAAGCTATGTACTTTTGGAATGTTTTTATAAATATCAAACTTGTTAAGTTTTCACCCCAAACTCTGCTTTATGAAGACCCCACAGTTAAATGTGGGGGACAGAAGGTAGTTTCAATCATGCCCTCGGGTTTCTGGAAAATCCATTCCCCTGTAACATGTGCTTAATTTAAAAAGTCCAAGAAGAGTCTTTGCCTCAATTATAAAAATAAATTTTAAAACTGTAAAGTTGATTACTAAATTTAAAATTTTCATTGAAATGCTCCATTGAAAGCTCTGCTCCCTTATTTTCAAAACATTTTATTCCATCTGAATTTTATGTGGTACAAAAGTAATGAATGCTTGAACCTGTCATCCAAATAGAAGGTTTTCAGTTTTTCAGGCCACCCTTCCTTCAGAGGCAAATAATAAGAAACAAATCATATTCTACACAGCATATACAGAAAATTTCCCTTTATAAGAACAAAAGTATTTGGGCATGATATATTTAGTATAGCTTAGCAATCCAGTTTATATTAATAAATTTAGTGAATTATTAGGAAGTATAATACATACACAGAATTCAATAGACAACAGGTATTTTAACCCTTGATTGTGAACAAAATGTCTGATTTAATTGTTTTCTTGTATTTTTTTAAGAAGATACTCCATCTGTAAATTTAAGTTTGGTTGGCCCTTTTTAGTCTTTTTGCTCAATATTTTAAATACTTCCATTTTCTTCTTTTTGTAGAGTCTTTGAGCTTCTTCTCTTTCTTGCTTTCTCCTCTCAAATTCCTGAAATTAACATATGTAATTTTTATTAGTAACAAACAATAGAAATAGTTCAGAAATTGTGTTGAAATGGGTATCAATCACCATCCTAACACTTTAGGTTTGTGTCTTTGATTTTCAAAATGTTGTTACCCATTACTTAAATAGTGTACTCTTTGCCTCTGCACTATAACACACGCTATAAAACAAAGTTATTAAAGTGTTAATTATTTGCATGCAAATAAAATCAGAGTACAGGAGAGAGAAGACATATTTATGAAATGATTTCATCATTTAACTAGCCCCATTGAAGAATTAAAAGGTACTTTAGAGTTTATCTGGTCCATATAACACTAATATCTTCATTACCAGAATATCTGGTATTCTTTTTAATTTGTTACTTGACAGATTTAATTCTAGAAAAAATTTGGCTATATGCCATGTATGTACAAAACACTGTTTGAGGCATTGTGATTTTTAACCATTTAAGAATTATCATGCTCATTTCATTTGCTAAGAGAGAGACTCGTTCGTTTGAGTCTAAAGACAAATAATTCAATTATATAGTGTATACATCTGAGAAGCACTTCTTGAAATGCACTATATTTTTACTAAATCCAATATAAAAATTAAACAGAAGTTCTTAATGTAATATGTGCGGTTTTTCAATTTCCCCTGAAACAAATATAGTCCCCAAATGACACAGCCTTAAATTTGTATGGTGACTTATATTACTGAGTACTTTCACATACATCATAGTACATTTTATTCTTTAAACTTTAATACTAGTTTTTATCTTCATCTTATAGAGATGATGATGCTCAGTGATATGGAAAGTGATTTGCCCAAGATCCCCAAATAACTGGTACTGTACAGCCAACTCATATCCAGATCTTATCAATCCAAAGTCTGAGCAATTCTCCATTACACTGCACCACTGTCACTTAAATTTATGTTCTCATATGGTATGGTAGCTTATTTACTTTTAAAAGCACACAAAGATCTAGAGCTTATTTTTTTTTTGTTTTTTAATTTTTTTTTCTTTATTGATTTTAGAGAGAGAGGAAAGGAGAGGGAGAGATAGAAACATCGATGAAAGAGAATATGGATCAGCCGCCTCCTGCATGCCCCGCACCAGGGATTTGGCCCACAATCTGGGCATGTACCCTGACCTGGAATCAAACTGGAGACCTCCTGGTGCATGGGTCGACGCTCAACCACTGAGCCAAACCTGCCAGGCTGAAACTTATTTGTGAATTTAGGTATATGGAGTGTAGTTTATCTCTATAGAGTTTCACTAAACAAAGTTTTAAAAAGTGTAAGTAGTCTTACTGATAATTATAGGTTATTTAATTAATATTTTTAATTTTGATTTCTCACAGGCAAGGATGCTGGCTATTAACATCTGAAATCTAAGAGACTGTCAATTTTCATAATTACAAAGTCCTAGCATTTATCTATGTAATTTTAGGACATTAAATGTTTTACAGTATAATGGTCTTACTGTACTATAATACTATTTCCAAAGGTGGCAGATATCAGATGCTTGGTTAGGAAAAAGCAGAAAGTAACAAGCTATAAAATCAAGGTCCACTATTTCCATGGAGTAATGTTTCTGCTTCATCCTAGTCTGCCACCCGTTTAAAAACCATAAAAAGTTCAGATGTGAAACTTCCAGAAATTCCCAGATTTCATTCCACAAATTCTAAAGCTAAAACACAAAAAAACTATATGTCAGTGCCATCTTTGGAGTATGTTTGAGTGCTATCCTTTTTACAGTGAAAGATTAATAAAGGTTCAATACAAAAACTAAGAGTAGTTAATCACAGATTAAACAAAATAATTATTTTGCTGAAACTGTAAATAATTTTGTTTCTGAATGTGAGTGGTAACTTTTTGCTAAGTTAATTTAGTAGGCTTTTAAAAAAAATTTTATTAGAGAGAGGAACGGAGGGAGGAGAGAGGGAGAAAGAGGGAGAAACATCAATTTGTTGTTCCACTTATTTATGCATTCATTGTTTGTTTGTTGCATGTGCCCTGACCAGGGATCGAACCTGCAACCTTGGTATATCAGGACGATGCTCTAGCCAACTGAGCTACCTGGCCAGGGCTCTACCAGGCTTTTTCATTGGCAAGACAAACTCTTTATAGTAAATAAATATTTTAGTCACCTCCCCTCTGGCTTTTACTTGCTTCAATGTAAAATTATGAAAGTTATCTATATTTTTTTATTCTCACCTGAGGATATTTTCCATTGCTTTTTAAATACAGTGGGAAGGGGCGGGGGCAGGGGCAGGGGCAAGGGCAAGGGATCAATGTGAGAGAGACACATCGATTGGTTGCCTCTTGCCCAACCGCAACAGGGTCTGGGGATCAAACCTGCAACCGAGATACGTGCCCTCGACTGGGAATTGAACACGAGACTCTTCAGTCTTTAGGTCGATGCTCTAACCACTGAACCAAACCAGCCAGGGCTTTCTTCTGTTTTCTCAGGTCTGTGATTCTCAAATTGTATTATACACATTGAGGTACTTGTTAAAAGTGCAAGTTCCTGGACCAAACGCTTAGTAAACATTATCCCAGAAGTTCATATCGTTAACCTATGAGCAGTAATCTTCAAAACCCTATTCTTGACCACCTCTCAAGGATAATATAAACAATCAAGGAATTTGAATATGTTAAAATTCTCCAATTCTGATCATACTATTCATTTATTCAACAAATATTTACAGAGGGCATACTATGTGCCACGGACTAAGTACAGCTTATATATACTTTCAGCACAAATACAAAAAATAAGTCTGAATATTTTTAAAGTTCTTACTTGTTTCTTAGCAGCACGCTTAGCTTGTACCTGTTCATATTCTTCTTGTGCTTTTTGATTTGATGTTTTCTTTTTATTTTTCTTTGGAATAGTAATGAAGCTTTATAAGATAAATAAAAATAAGCCACAAAGATTAAAATCAGTATCACCAAAATTATTTCAAGTATGTCAAATACAGTACTTGTATAGTAAAATCTCACTAGTGCAAATTAATAAAAAGGGAAAGAGATAAGAGGAAAGATGATATTAATCCAATTAATAAAACGTACAAATTACATTGTTAAATTTATTGGTAGAATTTTCAAGATAGATTACAAGGGGGTAAGTAGAGGCTCTTGGAGAAATTTCAACCAGGAAAAATACAGAAAGATTTGAAAGATCCTAGAATGTTAAAAAAAAAAAAAAAAAATTTTAAGGCAAAAACGAAAAACAGGGTGTACATAACTTTAATTCCAAAGCTCTTTGACCACTTCATCTCTACTCCACTTCACCTAGTTGGTCACAGATGACCACACCTCCGCTTAGAACCATTCTATCTTGAAGCACTCCTCTCCTCTCTGAAGGTGTCCCACACTGCCAGATAATTCAACCACTTAGGCCCAGAGTGCACTCATTTCCTCAGGCTAGCCAATTCATTAATACTCTTCCTTTGTCCTGTCTCTCAACTTTTCACTATACCAACTCCATAAACACAGTAAAAATATTTTAGTAGCTACCTTCTTAAAGTAAACTAATGCATACATTATCCATTTCCAAACTCTAGATCCTTTTCTAACTACCAATCTCGCATTCCCCATCCTTCCATAGTCAAGTATCTAGAAAGAATAAGTATCTAGAAAGACTAAGACATTCACTTCTTAACTCTGCAATCTGATTTCTGCTCTTACACTGTAATCAAATTATCCATGCCAAAACAGCTATGACCTTCTAGCCAAATGTGATGATCAAATCAATGGGCACTTTTCAGTTTCATTAAATAGACATTCGCTACTTTTGAAAAGTCCAGTCCCATAGTTTTGGTGACATTCTTTTCTCCTGATCCTTTCTAACTGCTCCTTCTCAGTGTGCCATGCTAGAGCCTCTTTCTCTTTCTAACCCCAGGTTTTCCCCCAAGTATTTCTCTCTTTGGTCTCCATGTTCTTCTTAGTCACATCCATAACCATGACTTTGGATGCTACATGTAAGGGTAAAAACTTCGTCAGGGTTATCTATTGAAAATGTTCTCTCCAAGGCCACTAATGATTGTCTAGACCACAAATCCAAAGATCTGTTCTGTCTTGTTTTTCTTGGACTTCACAACATTTGAGAGTTGATCAATCCCTACTCAGCACAATTTTCCTGTACTGACAGCATCACTGTATTCCCCTTTCTCCAAGTAAGGCAGTTCTATTTAACTTCTTCAGTGACAACTTTTCCCTGCTTTCCCTTCAAAATAAGGAATCTTTAAAAATATTATCTTTACCTAAGAATCTTGTGTCACAATTAAACCCTCTCTCACTTCAATTATCACCAGAAATTCATTTCTACATCTCTAATGCTAGTTTTTTGTCTGATCTTTACACTCATTTTCAATAATATGATGGTCAAACCTAATGAAAAGCTGATATTTAGTGTCTGTCTTTATCCCTGACTACACTTTTTTCCTGAGTCCTAGTTTCTATAAATTTAGCACAAATAGCTCCTCCAATTTTAAAGGACAGAATTTTAGTAAAGTAAAATGTTATGGTCCCAAGTAATGCCTGGTTACTCTGAAAATTTAGATTTCTTAGCATGTTTTTTAACTTGAGATATGTGCAGAGAATGTTTTATTAGCACTTATAAAACCAAAGTATTATGGAGCTATGCCATTTCTTTTTTAATTGATACTAAGTCAATATCCTCTGGGAAAAAAAGTCTGGATTAATAACAGCAGCAGCAGCAGTAGTAGCTAATACTCAAGTAGCACCTCCCATGCCATAATCTTTTTAAAGTACCATATAACGAATGAACTCTTTTAGTCTTCACAATGTCATGATAGGTCAGGGACACCAGAGTCTGTGAATAATTCATTCTGGAGAGGTACAACGTGGCAACTCTGAATTAAATAGTTATTATTATCATTTCCATCTCAGAGAAGAGGACACTGGGCACCAAATGTTAAGTCCGGCTCAAGTCTATCCATGCTGTTAACCTGCAAACTATACCTCTCAAACATTAGTGTTTTTAAAAAGATATATTAATAACAGGCATTAACCACAGTCCAAATGTACTTGAGAGGCTGAAATCTAAAACCCAGATACTTTAACTCCCATTCCATTACATCTTCAATTAAGCTAACCTAGCCTAATTCAATCATTTAAGATACACACACAAAAAATAGCCTTCATGAAAAATTATCACCTAATTACACTGTGACTTCTAAAATGCCTCAAATAACAATTCCAATTTCCACATAAACTGTCCTACAATTTCCTTCTTAAAGTAGTACTTACATTTAAAACAAAGGATTTCAAAAGAAGACAATACATACTTTACCCTTTCTTCTTTACATTGTTCTTCTGGCTGAGGCTGGTCAATACTATAATGTTCTTCAGACAAAGCCTGGTCAATGTTACATTGTTCTGCTGGCAAAGCCTGATTAACTTGTTCTTCTGACAAAGGCTGGTCAACTTTTCTAAGTTGCTTCCTGAGTCTTTCCTCTTCAGCTAAATAGAGATGTTTCAGATGTTCAGGGTATCGATCTCTGAATTGGGATTCCTGTGAAGTTCGAGCCTTCTCATTCCGCCATAGCAGTTTCTTGTAATTTTGCTGAATCTTCAATTTTCTTCGAAATGCAAAGCCTTGTCCTACATTGAAGAATATCAATCATTGCCCTGACCGGTTTGGCTCAGCGGTTAGAGCGCCGGCCTGCGGTCCTGAGAGACCCGGGTTCGGTTCCCGCTAAGGGCATGTGACTCGGTTGCGGTTTGTCCCCGGCTCTGGTCAGTCGTGCGGGTGGCAACCACTCGATGTGTTCCTTTCACATCGATGTTTCTCTCTCTCTCTCTCTCTGTTCCTCTCTCTCCCTCCTGCTCTACCTGAACAAAAAATGGAAAAATGTCCTCGGGTGAGGATAAAAAAAAAAAAAAAAAAAGAATAGCAATCATTAATTACTTTCTCAGAAAATAAGTGGCATGAAGAACATAGCTGTTGCCCTGGCCAGTAAGGCTTGCGGGTTTATTCCTGGTCAGGACATATACCCAGGTTTCTGGTTATGTGGCAGAGGCAGCCAATTGATGTTTCTCTCACACAGGTGTCTGTCTGTCCCTCTCTCAAAAAAATCAATAAAAACATATTTTTTAAAATGTAGTTGTTAATTTTAAATGAAAGACATTTCCATCATCACAGTCAGATGCTAGAATTACTTTGTTTTGCTTTGAAAGATTATTTCAAGAAAACAAATTTAAACTAATGGAGTGAATAGTATGTTGATTCTCTGCAAAAAGACCAGGGAAGCCCTGGCTGGTTTGGTTCAGCGGTTAGAGCGTCGGCCTGCGGTCCTGAGAGACCCGGGTTCGGTTCCCGCTAAGGGCACGTATCTCGGTTGCAGTTTGTCCCCGGCCCTGGTCGGTTGTGCGGGTGGCAGCCACTCGATGTGTCCCTTTCACGTCGATGTTTCTCTCTCTCTCTGTTCCTCTCTCTCCCTCCCACTCTACCTGAACAAAGAATGGAAAAATGTCCTCGGGTGAGGATAAAAAAAAAAAAAAAAAAGACCAGGGAAACATTAGTCATGCAGACACTTCAAATAAGAATCTCAAATAAGGTAAAATGACTAGAGTATTGCACAGTTACGGTTTATTGTATTCACAAATCAAAATAAATTCCTTAATTAGTCTAAAAGACTTAATCTAGTTCTTCAATAAATAAGAAAAAAAACACCTCACAACTATTATTCTACCTTAGAGAAAGTACTACACAACTTATTTTTAAAATTAATCTAACAGGAAAGAGAGATGGTGTACGACTTTCTGAACAGCTACCTGCTTATTTAAGATTTACACATTCCAAAGGAGATCTGAGTAACTTACAGACAGACAAAATTACAAACACAGACCAAAGGAAAGGCAGATCAGTGAGAAAAGATTGGAGGGTTTTGGGTTATTTGTAATGAGCAAGAGTATTGGGGCAGATTTCTGGCCCTACACTTCTCTCTGACCTCTTCTGTAATGCATACTGTAATGCATATAAATAATACACACATAAATGGACTCGTAGATGCTCTCTGCTTGTGGTTTCATGGAGAAATGAAGAGGAAGAGTTCTGATCAAGAACGAGGATAAGTCAGGGAAGATGCTTAAAAATACAAAGTCAGCAACACTTCCTCCTCTTCCTATCCAGAACTGAGACATGCACAGCCTCAGCTGGCATAGGAATTGTGGTAGGCAGTTACACAGACATGAGCAGAGCAAAGAGGATGGGCCAGGCACAGAAGGTCAGGAAGGTGGAAAGCCCTGGTTGCCTGGCAAAGAACACCTGTAGTTTGGGACCTAGTCCCTAGGGTGACCTTTTCTCCCTTATCATGTAGTTTGGCCCTCTTAAGCGTTTCTCCCTGGAGATAACAGGTAGGCCTGTTATATTTCGGCTCCAGGCCCAGAAACGCAGCAAAACCAGATAAACAATGCCAAGATTTATCTCAAAACTAGCTTCACTGAATAATGACCACCTGCCCTGGCCCCCACCAATCAGTGGGGACCCAGACCTTGAAAAGACACACCTGGAAAACTACTAAATATCTATTAAGATGTTCTAGAGCCTCCCTCAAAATCTTCACCCTTAAAACCGTCAGGGCAGAGGACCCTGAAGACTCTCTCCCTCCCAGGAGCACCCTGGAGCCTCCCCCACCCTACCCCCAAGCCCCTCATCTTTACCTTCCTCACTTCTAAACTCCAAGGACCCTTCCGGTGCCCCTATATCTTGTTTCCTAAGCCCATTTCCTCTACAAATGACTTCTTCTACCTCTGTGATTTTCCAAACAAATGTTCTCTTACAGTTTGAACCTTGGCTCTGAATTCTTTCCTAGCCAGAACTCAAGTACTGAGGTTGCTGAACCCAGGTCGGGTCTGACCCCACTGATCTAACACCTTGTGCGGTCTCAGCGTCCCCAATAGAATGACTTCCTCTGCTCCCAAGCAGGGCCTGATCAAGTTCCTAAATCCTGCCTCCCTGCTTCGGTGGGTGGCGTTTTCTAAGACTTCACAGGCCAGAAGGCAGGGCTGCCTTCTTACATACCCTCGCGGACGCTCCCCACGAAGGCCTGCGAATGGTGAGGTCGCCACGTCCTCTGTTTCACACTCTTATTCTTGAATCCGACCGGAGAAATTCCTTCGCCACGAGTCTCAACACTCTCAGTCCGCCACATTGCTGCTGGCCTCCTGGGCGCCATGGCACACTAACCTCGTCGCCAGAAAACAGCAACGGACGCGGTCAAAATACGTCATCAGTCCGAAGCAATCAATCGCCCAACTCCAGTGTGGATCAGAGCTCTACTTATCTGGCCTGTGCTACTTTCAGCCTCAAGACCACGTTTGCGCCACCTACAGCCCGGGAGGGTGAGCGTCATGGCGGCGTTGGGCCCGCTCCCGGTGACCCAGGATCTGTCCACGTTGCGAGCTAAGTTGCAGGGGCTGCTGCGGTTCCTGAGAGAAGCCCTGTCCATTTCCAATGCACATACAGTAGACTTCTACACGGAGTCCGTGTGGGACCAACTGGTCGACTTGCCTCCGGAGACGGTGCTGGGATGCTGAAGAGGCCGTCGGCGGAGGCCGAGGAGGCGCGCCCCCTGGTGGAAGCCGACGGAGGGTCGGATGAATGGCGGTGGGAGGGACGGAGAGGCGGAGAGCAGGCCCCGCCCGGGAAGCGTGCCCTCTAGTGGGAACCGGGCGGAATCCGGTGAGCCGAGGGCGGCCCTGGAAGCTTGCCTTCGGGGCTCCGAGGCGGGGATCAGGCTGGTGGAGGGGTGGTGCGAGGACTCTGTTCCGCCGTCTCACTTCGGCCCTGGGTGCTTGTGTATTTCCACAATTCAAAGAGAACTGGAAACAGGCAGGGGTGTTCATTCATTTAGTAATTCAGCGATAATTTTCGACGGGAAGCACAAGGGGAACAGTGTTCTCACAACGCCTGTAGATTCTTTGTGGAAACACGGCAGAAGGTGAACCAACACTTAATACATCAAGATCATTTCAAATGATGATAATGGCCAAGAAGGAAATAAAAACAGGCAGATGTGATAGCAGTTGTACGAGAGGAGGCTGCTTTAACTCAGGTGGGCGGGAGCATGAGAAGGTGCCCGCCTACAGTGAGCCGGGAAGGGATTTCAGGCCCTGGGAACCGCAGAGGCCCTGCTGGCAGGTGCAGGTGGTGCCTGGAACCAGGTGCGCAGCCGCGCCAGGTATGAGCAGGGAGGTGAGCAGGGTCGGAACCCCGCAGGGCTCTCTAGCCTTGACAGGACTTTGGATCTTAAGTGTGAGGGGAAACTTTGGGGCCATTTAGTAAATATAGTGACCTAACTTACATTTGAAAAGATAACTCTGGCAGTTATTTGAAGAACAGACTAGCAGGGCAAAAGCTGAGAGGCCAGTTATATGACTATTTCAGTAGTACAAGAAAGAGATAATTATATCGTGGACGAGGTTGATAGCAGTGAAGAAGTGGAATATTGACTAGTTCCTTTGAAAATTGTTTATAAAGTATCTACTATGTGCCATGAGTTTTTGTAGGATGTGGGGTTTCTTGCCCTCAAGAAACTTAGATTAAACCAAGACTAGTATATTTTGGCAGCAGAATGATGAGACATGTTTAACAAGCTCCTGGGTTTTCTCCTACTTTGTTCCCAACCTTGCCCTAGCTCGTGAACCTTATTCATTAAGCATTCTCTGAACGCAAAGCGCCTCTGGAGGAACCCCCTATAATAGGACTTGGTAAATATTGGTTTCTTTCAAGTCACAGTTGTTGAAAAGGTTAGGCACGTCTTCAGTTTGCTCTCCTTATATCCACTACTTATAATGTGGCGACTTAAACTCCAAAAGGGTAGAGACCATGTCTTTCCTATAAATAGATGTATTCCCAGGAACTAGTAAAGTACCTGGCAGGCATTAAATGCTCAATGCATATTTGATACATGAATACATTAATGAATGACTCATGGTAGCTTCCTCCCAAAAGAAAAGAAACTATCTTTAAATGTAAAGCCCAAGACTTTCCTGTGGGTTTAACTTTGTCTTCATGCAATAGAAGAATTAGATTCCTTATGTATTCTGATGACAATAATAGGATTAATTGATATTTACTATTTTTTCTGCAATGGACTGTTTTCTTGCATATTTTCTCTTGTAATCTTTACATCACCTTTGCGGGATGGGTTCTGTTCCTCCTGAGTTATGAAATTGCAAGTTGATTTGGTAAAGATACAGCTCTTCATGGAGTTTCAAACTGCTGACTCCAGAGTCTGAGTGAGCTCTTTGCCACCATGATAAAAGTCTGAAATATTTAGCGATGAATTCCAAAGGCCATTATTATCAAAACCAATACTTTTTATGACACTAATACATCTCTTATTTTTTGTTTTGATTTGTTTCTATTGTTTCCCCTTCAATGATGTAAGAATTGTTTTTTCACTGTTGTTTACCTAGTACCTAGAACAATGCCTGGTCAGAGTAGATGGTTAGTAAATATTCGGCAAGTAAGTAAATGAATGAATGACACCACTTATTTAAGCTAGGGATACAATTCTAACATCTTTTGGGAAAACCTTGTATCTATCCAACAAAAAGGAATCTAGGCTGATTGTTCACCTTTGAAATGTCTTTAACCCTGCAAATTTTTTAATACAAAATATTCCTTTTTGCCCAGCCGACATGTCTCAGTGGTTGACCATCAGCCCATGCACCAAGAGGTCACCAGTGTGATTCCCATTGAGGGCACATGCCCAGGTTTGGGCCACATCCCCAGTGGGGGGCATGCAGGAGACGGCCAATCGATGTTTTCTCTCATCAATGTTTCTATCGCTCTCTCCCTTCCTCTCTCTCTAGAATCAATAAAGAAAAAAACATTTAATAAATAAATAAAATATTCAGTTTTACAGATGGTCAGTTGCCTATAGTGTTAAAAAAGAGTGATTTTTTAAAAATAATTTATACTTATAAGGAATTAATTTTTGTTTATGTAGAGATTATTTGAAATGGGTATTTTCTCCATTCCTATATGCAGTCTGTTTGTGTCGAAGAAGAGCAGTAGAATCCTTTGACCAGATTTGTACTTTATTTAAGAATTGTTAGCTGCTATTTACAGGCTAATTTAGCAGTTAAATTTACAGACTTTTGAGTCTGATAGGGTTTAAACTCCAGTTCTACCACTTACAAGCCATGTGACCTTGGAGAAGTTCATAATTAAGTAGAAAAGGAAAGAGTAGGTAAGGGCAAGTGCAGAAGGAAAATATGTTTGCCATTTTAAATGGGTTTCAGCAAGACCTCATGGAGGTGACTCTGGAAAAAATCTAAATATGGGAAAAAATGAGTCATGAAGCTCTCTGGAGGAAAGGCATACCAGATAATGAGAACAGGGAGCGCAAAGGCCCTGAGATGGGAGCATGCGTGGTCTGTTTAAGGACAAGCAAGGAGACTGGAACAGATTTCCACTAGGGACTCAAGGAGTGTGGTTTTCTGCGGAGCTACAAATAAACACAATTCCCAGTGTAGCAACGAGTTTCTGCGCAGTGTATGGAAGTAAACAGATGTTTGGCACAATCATTTGGTGTTTTATGAGACCAGGTTGTTTCTGAAAATCCTCAATGTAGCCATTTAAGTAGATTTCTCTTGCCAGGCGATCTTCTGTCCCAGTCAGAGTCCTGAAAGTTTTTTCTCTTCTGTTCAACTAAAATGACCTAGCTAAAAAAAAAAAAAAAAAAAAAATCTTGATTCTTCAAAATGAAAAGGAAAGATGTTAAAAATAACTATATTTCAAGGGCATACATTATGAGTGTTACAAATTGAATTGTGTCCCTCCAGAATTTATATATTGAAGCTCTAATCCCCATTGTGATTGTATTTGGAGATGGGGCCTTAAAGGAGGTGATTAATGTTTAATGAGGTCATTCTGGTGGAGCCCTTGTCCAATAGGAAGAGGATGAGACACCAGGAGAGCGCACACCCAGAAAAACTGTGAGGATATAGCGAGAAGGCAGCCAGCCATCTGTAAGCCAAGGAGAGAGGCTTCACCAGAAATCTACTCTGGCAGCACCTTGATCTTGGACTTTCAGGTTTCAGAATTGTGAGAAAGAAAATACATGTGTTGTTTAATCTACCTAGTCTGTGGTATGTTGGTGTGACAGCCTGAGCAGATGAGTACAATGGGCTTTGCAGACAGACTATCTGGATTGAATTCCTGTCTCCCCAACTTCTTAGCTTTGTTAACTTGGGCTTGAATTGTTTGTGCCTCAGTTCCTCACCTGTAAAATGAAGATAATTGTAGTACTTACTTGATGGAGTACTGTGAAAGTTAAGTGAGTTAATACATAGAAAGGGTTAAGAAGATGCCTAACAAATAGCAGCCCTGAATCCATTCATGTATTTGACTAATGTTTATTGAGCACCATCTACCTACCAGTCCCTGTTCTGGGCCCTACAGTTATGGTATCGAATACAACAAAGTCCCTCCCCACACAGAGCTGATGTTTAGTAAGAGTAGATACATAGTAAACTCTGAATATAATATCAAGTAGCATTAAATACCATGAAGAAAAGCATGACAGGCAAAGGGACATGAAAATGATGGTGTGGTGGAGAGAAATGTCATTTTAGGTATAGTGATTATGATCAGAAAGTCTGACCTATCAAGACAAAATTTGAACAGAGACTTGAATAAAGTGAGAGAGCCAGTTATGCAACTGTCTGAGGGAAGAGTATGTCAGGCCAAGTGAAGAGCAGGTGCCCAGGCTGGAGGACGCCCACTGGGTTGGAAGCAGAGCTGTGAGGTTAGACTGATAAGAGATGAGGTTTGAGAGGTGGCCTGGGGCAACTTCATGTAAGGCCTGTGGCCACACTGAGGGCTTGGCTTATACTCTGAGTGAACTGGAAAGCTCTTTAAGGATTTTGTGTGGTGGTGTGATATGTGATTTATGTTTCAAAGGGATGACTCTGACTTGTGTGTGAAGAAGAGGCTATTGGAAGGTAAGGCAGGAAGCAGGAAGACAAGATAGAGGCTATTAAAACAGTCCAGGGAGGCTTCAGGGAATGGGAGCTCAAAGAAGTCAGGCAGTTTCTCTTGCAGATATCAATGATAAACACTGGCCAGGTTCCTTTTGGTGAGCATCTGTATTGTTAATTTACTGTATTTCAACTGAACAATACCAAAAGTGTATGCCCACGATAGATTTTTATTTTGTGGAGCTTTCTCTTAAATTATTTTTATTGCCCAGCCAGTGTGGCTCAGTGG